TCTGATATAACTATGAACAAATGAATACGGTCAGCTATGACTATGAACTAATAACTAAGGTCAGCTGTGACTATGAACTGATGAATAAGGTCAGCTATGAATATGAACTAATAACTAAGGTCAGCTATGACTATGAACTGATGAATAAGGTCTGCTATGAGTATGAACTGATTAATAAGGTCTGCTATGACAATGAAGAAATTATTAAGGACTGCTATGTCTGTTAACTAATAAATATTATTACTCCAACTTCCGCCTACAAAGTTGGACACTGTCACACTGACAGAACCTTTTGGTGCTGCATGTAGATAAATAAATATTTCTCAATCTGATGAAACATTGTTTGAATATACAACATAAACATAATAGAAACAGCTATCAACAAGTTGTTTACATGATCTTGTTCCATGTTAAAAAGTAAGGTTCATGACCACTGTAGAAAGATCGTAGAAAAGTATGAAAGCATAAAAGTATAGCTATTATAACCTGTAACCCTTTTGATTTCAAAGTATAACCAGCACAACATATAGCATGTTTACACTTTTTCTAACCATAATAATGTGAATTGTTTTATTTTATTATAGCTGTGATTTAACATATAAACTGTTTAGAGTTAGACACTTTGTTTAAAGTAGGAATGTCAGAGAGCTGACTGAAGAATACCTCATTACAAAATCAGCGAAGGCTGACAAAGAGGAATGCTAGAATGAGTTCTTGTAGCCACTGTAACTGTTTCATTGAATTGAAATTGTTGTATGTGAATCTTGTGTGAAAAACTTAAATAAAAATACAGCCTTACATTTAGTAAGTGACTGAAAGCAAAACAGTATTCTGGTCCTTTAAAACAATGTAACCCTCTTCCCCTGTACGCTAATGGTGCGATAAGATGTGACGACTGAAACATGCAGAGGAGCTTAAGGTAAGTTCCCTGGGTGAAGACTTGGCAGTGTTAGTCATAAATGGTGAGAATGTTCACAATAGGCAATAGTATAGACGATGTACATAACTATTCGTACTGGGTGTTAGGGTTACATCCTATTGAGAGCGCCTAGGGCATTAGCCGTAAAAGACTTTCAAGAAGACAATTAATTCCGAAATCCTAACGATTTAGCTACGGGGTGAGATAAAAGGCCAAAGGTATTGTTCTGAGACCTCAAGGAGGAACGCATATCCTTGCAGGTGGGATAGCCGACGGAGTAACCACCGTGTTAGGTGCGAACTACTTCCCCGCCTATAAACGGGGCAGGAGCCGCTCGCGCTACACCACACTAAACTTGGAAGAACAACTTCCCAACTTGGGGAATGGGACCATCTGAGGGTTACCTGAATGCAGCAGCATAACTGCTGACTACATCAAGTCCATTTAGCTATCAAAATCAGAAGTCATCACAGACCACACCTGCAGAGAGAAGACAAGATGGCAGCTGTGAGAAATGATGGAACTGTTTGTAATGCTGCCCATTTAACGCAGTACTTTATTTACACAGTACTTTAAAAGGGTGTAGATTTAGTTCTCACAGTACAAAGTTTTACATCTTTAAACCCAATACCGGTTATTTTACATTTTCCAAACTATATGTTACACTGATTTCTAGCCATGTGTTCATCTTCTTTGAGCTGCAGTGCTCTAGTAAAGGCTGGATCAAAACATCCAGGTCTCCTTTCGGGGGTCATTATATGCTTGTCATTATATATGTATATATATTTATATTATATAGCTCCAGATATGCCACAGGGACGTTACGGGCAAGACGCCTTCTTCAGCGTACATATTCTGGTAATTTTACAATCAATATACACAGATGGAGTTAATTATACAGTAGGTGACCACAACCAGCACAAGTAGCATTACATCCCAACAGGGAGCTACAACCTTCCCAGGCACAGAGTCTCATGGGCTAGGGTACTAAAACATGAAAAAACAAGAAAACAGATTATTTCATTTAATAAGAAACAAGCAAATGAAATATCTTCATTTGGAATGAAGGTAGCAAGGAAATGTATCGAATATGCTTGGCTTTGGAGAGGGATTCTGTCCCTTTTACCATGCACCTCTCCGTGGCATCTTCACTACCCATGTAGAGTAGTTCACTCAAGCTGCAGCTCTGACCTTTAAAGAGGCCACCGATGATTTACCATCATTATGAATAGAACTTGGCGTACCTCATCCAAATGGTTGTCCAATAATTCATCTCCATGTCCCTCACTTTAAAATGGGACTTGTGACTCAAAAGATTCATCAGAATGAATGATGCCAGTTGAGCTTGTACCAAACACGGTGCAGAACTAAGATATATTCACTCCACATGGCGCCACCTAGTGGAACAACAGAACTGTAACAATTAATAATGGTATTAATAACAAGATTGTCTTATGGTTTAACATAGCCTATACTTTAATAAGCTTGGTTGAAAATACGAAGCACACTATAGGCTATTTATTGCCCTATAACAGTCTGTCAGAATGACATTGTGTTCCTTTGTGACGAGTCTGCGTACAGACAGGAGGTTGAACAGCTGGTCCTCTGGTGTGGTCAGAACAACCTGGAGCTGAACAAGCTCAAAACTGTGGAGATGACAGTGGACTTCAGGAGGAGCCTCCCAACACTGCCCCCCCCCCCCCCCCTCACCATACTCAACAGCACTGTGTCTGCTGTGGAGACCTTCAGGTTTCTGGGATCCACAATCTCCCAGGACCTGAAGTGGGCCCCCAACATCAACACCATCAGGAAAAAGGCCCAGCAGAGGTTGTACTTCCTGCACCAGCTCAGGAAGTACAACCTGCATCAGAAGCTGCTGATTCTGTTCTACTCCACCATCATCCAGTCTGTTCTCTGCTCCTCTATCACTGTGTGGTTTGGATCGGCCACCAAACAGGACAGAAACAGACTACAACGGATTATCAGGTCTGCAGAGAGAATCATTGGTTCTAGCCTGCCCTCCATCCTGGTTTCACCTCCAGAGTCAGGAAACGGGCTGGAAAGATCACTGCAGACCCGTCACAGCCTGGACTCAAGCTGTTCCAACTCCTCCCCTCTGGTAGGCGCTACAGAGCTCTGTACGCCAAAACCACCAGATACAGGAACAGCTTCTTTCCACTGGCCGTCACTCTAATGAACAATTAATCAGACATACTGCATATTACCTCCATTCTCCATCATCTTAATTCCATGGACACTGTTGTTGTTTAGGGTTATGTTCATATATTTACACTTTTTGGATATATATCTATATTTATATTTTACATAGTCGTTAAATGTTTATGCTTACATCTGTTCTACTTTTTCCCCCGTTTTTTATATATATATGTATATTATTTTATTTTTTTCCTGTTTATTGTAAATTCTGTGTATGTAGCCTACGTGGAGAGCAATGTGAGTCAAATTCCTTGTATGCGTACGCGTACATGGCCAA